TCCAGACAGGCTGGACCAGAGGAGGAGAGACAGACCTGGACCAGAGGAGGAGAGACAGACCTGGACCAGAGGAGGAGAGACAGACCTGGACCAGAGGAGGAGAGACAGATCTGGAGTCCTAGCAGCAGAGAACTTCAGCACGGATTCCAAGGTACACCTTTTTCATGCTTTACAAAGAATGCATAAAGTAATGACTCTAATACACTGATATACATTAAACATGACTGAATACTAGATCACCTACACATCAGTGATGTTGAGTGGACTTTCTTAGCAAAACGTTACATTTAACCAAGCAGCATCACTTTTTTGTTCAACTTTCACATTTCAATGTATTTAAGGCAAATATTATTGAACATAGTGAGAGCTGCGACCCTTTGTCTTTCAGTGAGACAACCGGACAGAGCAAGCTTCTACAGTTGCACTAAGTTTTGATAACAGTTAAATATTATTTTAATAATACATTTATTTCAATGTTGATGAATTTAGAATGGTTTATTCATAATCTGATTATCTTTGTAGTACACTGTTGGATTTAAAAAACACATTAAAATAAAAAAATCATTATATTTATGAACAAACAAACACACCTCTTTCTTAAATAACACACTTGCTCTGCAATAATATGTTTTTTGATATTTCTGTTAGGAAAGGACATGCCTGAGAGACAGGACTGCTTCACCATGTTCTCTTTCTCTGAGGGTCCAGAAGAACATCCAAGAGGGAAAGGAAAAGCTGATGTTATGAGATTTAAGAGCAGTACAGGACATTGACTAAGAGACACTTGTATTGTAACACAAAGACCTGCACACTGAATAGTTTTGTAGTCTAACAGGAACTTCATTTGTGTTTTGTGTTTTACGTTGCACCTCAGAGACAGTGTGATTATTGTCAGGCCTATAAAGTTTGGCCAAAAAAAAAAGTCAGCTGATCAAATGCATTTGCCTCACTTTGAGCTTCACATCACTTGTGCCTTGTACCGCAGAGTTTGCAACGTCATAAATAAATGGTGCCAATCTTCATTCAGATGTGAATGTGTAATCTAACATTTTCAGCAAGAATAACGGACAAAAGGAGTGCAAATACAATTTATTGAAATGTGAACTAAAAGTTATCAAGCATGAACCATCACCATTTTTTTTTAAATAAAAACGAAATAATATACATAAGTTACACTAAATGTTAATCTGTTAATTGACAGGCTAGGCCTGTGCAGGTGGTAACAGCTATGCCCAGCATGGGCTAAGTTCTGTAGGTGCAGCTGGTGCAGATCCTCCTCCATCAGGTCTGGTCCTCCTCCCTCAGGCCTGCAGGGTCTTTCCCTGCGAGGAGGGAAAGACCCTCAGCCCTCTCTGGCCAAAGCAACAGACAGGACGTTCATAAAGCTGAGGTTTCCCCCAAAGTCTCTAATCATCCATCCTGTGAATATGAGAGGGGAACAAATAGTGTAATAGATGCTTTGGACAATAAGAAATATAAAGTTAACTGTTGAGTTGCTCAGTTTTTTAGATTGACAGGGTTTAATAACACAAACAAAAGGAGAGAAATAAAGATTGGTCTTTCAATAAATTGTGTTGATTTTGTCTTTTGAATTGTTTGTCTGAAGTCAAGTAGCTAGAACTGTTACTTATAGTTTGAATGATACAGTCTGGTTATAATGTTTGGAGGAGGCATCACAGGTAAGAGCACCATTTGTTGTGTTCCATCCATAACAAATTGATGTGTGTGTATTTATTTATCTACTATTTCTTGAATTATTACTGTCAGTCCAAAACAAGAGATTTTGTTTTGGTAACATTTAAAAATAAAAAAACATCTCTTTTTCACTACACTATCTTGAATACTTTAGTTTTTACGTCACTACATTTATCTGTACAGCTTTAACATTGTAAAGGTGTCACTTCGGACTAATTATAACAGCATGTCCTACTCAGCCCTAGAGTCTCTAGGGCTCTGGTCCTACTATTTTGAGAGTTTGAACAAACCAGACCATCTATTAATGTAGAAAATAGTTGGCACATTACACCATTATGAAAGTAATAATTAGTTAGCTCATTGTTCAAAATGAGCTCCAACTACAACAGTTAAGTCAACTCGTGCATCGGTAATAACAATAAATCAAATGATATAATATAATAGTATAACTTGTGTCTACTTTAACAACACTTTCCTAATTATACTAGCATAGTTTTTACTAAAGTAACATTAACATGTTAAAATGCAGGGCTTTTGTAAGAGAGTATTTCGTATAGTGTAGCATGGTCTACTTGACTTATCTAACCGAAGTGATCGTTACGTTACTTTGCAAACCGTGACACACACACACACACACACACACACACACACACACACACACACACACACACACACACACACACACACACACACACACACACACACACACACACACACACACACACACACACACACACACACACACACACACACACACACACGTTGTGATTCACTTCAATTAATGGTAACGGAGCTTGCTAACAGCAAGGCACAAGGCTACTTCACTCATTTAGCTAGCTAATGTAAGATACAAATGCTGTCGAGCCCTCACTGCTTGTAAAATAAAGAGCACAAACTGACTACTTACCCGAGCGGCGAGCCCCGCTGTTCTCCGTCATTTTTCTCCCGGGTTGTTGTGATCACATGACTGACAAAGCCGTGCTCTGATAGGCCAGAAGTCGGAGTTGCATTAGGGCTCGATTGCTTATCCTGTCTGCGTAGCCCGGATGATGCTGCATCGCAATTTTGGACATCGAATTTTATACATCGAATTTTTTGACGTCGAATTTTTGGGATCTGAATTTCAACATTCGAATTTTTTTCACTTGAATTTTTACATTTTTATTTCACATAGGTAAATTTGGAGCAAAAACATTTAGATACATGATTTTCAAAGTAATTATTTTCAATGCTATAAATTCGGTGTCTAATACAATTCAAATACTTCTGTCTCTTGTTTGCTTCCATATACTATGCTAGCTCGAAAAAGGTTTGAAAGATATTGAATGGTGAGACAGAGTAGTAGGACCAAATGCAACCACTGTTAAAAATCAATAATATATTAGCTAATATTATAAGTGTTTTTTGTGTCATTAATTTGCTAAACATATTACATTATTAGTTGTTTTCTTTTTTTCATATTGATATTTTTACCATGCCAAGGAGGTTATGTCGTACGGTTGTTTGTTGATTTGTCAGCAGGATTGTGGAAAAACTTAAATTCAACCTGATTTCCTGTCTTTTTGAATTCTCAAAATAAAGATATGTCTAAAAACCCTGCAAGCTGAAAAGTGTTTGTTACATTCATCTTGTTGACATTAAATAAGGAATTGACTACATTTAACGAAACCCTATTTTGCTCATATTCAGGTTCCTATCTGTATGTTAATTGTGCCTCTAGTCTACTGTGACATGTCTCCATGCTTTAATGTTCAAAAAGGTCTCAATTTTTCTCATACTGCCTGTGCTGCAGCACCTCTTTTCACCCTCCGTCTGAAACCAGAGCTCAGTCTGCTCTGATTGGTTAGCTGGCCATCTCTGTTGTGATTGGTTAACCACTTCGATAAAAAGAAAAACCTAACCATCCAACTGGAACCTAAACCCGCATTAATCATGTGATGATACATTATAGACTAAAGGTTATTTAGTAGCTGTATTGAAGCTTTTGACCATATCACATTTTCATCATCAGATTTGATTTTTCACAAAAAAAATAAACTTTTAAATAATACAAAAACAATTAGAACAGCAGTATTTCTCTTCTATAGTTTCACCACACATCACAAAGGCATTTTTTAAGTTACTCAATATTTGTACTGACAAGAAACAAAGATAACTTAAAAACACTTCAATAAATGAACATGACATGTTGGTGGAAACAGGAGAAGAGAGCTTTTCTGATGCTTCGACTGACACCACAAAGAATCAGTAGTGTAGTAGTGTAATCAAAAAAATACAAACACATGAGACTATGAAGACATTTGACATGTGACCAACCTCGTTTGAGCTGCCCCGCCCTCCTCAAGTTTCACAGACAAGCCGCCTGGATGAGCAAAGACTGTTTCCTCGAAAGGAGTCATGGCATTGAAAGCAACACTTTGGACGCTCTTGTTCTGTGAGGAAAGCTACGGTGTGACGCTCGGCTCAGCCTCTCTCATGTCCATTATCAGGTTTTCAGTGTCGGTGTGTTTGCTGACTTCAGTGTGCTGCTCCTCAGAGAATAATGGATGCTCCAGCACTTTAAAGGTCACCTATTATGCAAAATCCACATTTTCATGTCTTTTATAAATAAACATGTGTCCCCTCTGTGTAAAGAGATTCAGAAACAGAGGGAATTATGGGACGCTACAATGCATGGTTTGGTATTTCAGCCAAACACTTCAGAGACATGTTTTGTATATATCTGAGACCTATAATATATTGATGAAAAGCAGTATAATAGGGGACCTTTAAGGGGATCCACCCTTATTAGTCTGCCAGCAGCATATTTTTTAAGAGGTCCACAACGTTCAGCAGCTCCTCTCTCTTGGCCATGTTTCTATAAGATATCACCTGGAAGAAATGTAAGCTAAAACATGTCTTTATAATCGTATTGAATCACGGCAGTGCAATCAATAAGTACATCAAATAAATCCTTGTAATAACATTATATTACAGAAATAAAATAAAAAAGACAACCTACATCCACCAGGGAATCCACAGAGCTGAGGTAGAAAAGGGGTTTCCTCTGAAATTAAGCCCAGTCTGTGTGGCAATCTCCCAAGGAGTTTACAGAGAGACAGTGTTAGAGTCAAATAACTGATCCTGACACACAGACAGACGGACACACAGACAGACGGACACACAGACAGACAGACAGGCAGCTACCTTATGTCTCCAGGTCTGCTGATCTAGCTTCCCCTCACTGTTGAAAACAAGGCTGTTTTTTTGTCTGCAGTTCAACAGGTAATCTGGAGGCTGACCCACCAACATCCATATTGTGTTTCAGCGCATCATACTCGTGTTCTGCAGGGGGGGGGGGGGAAGAGAAGCAAAGCCTGCAGCAATTCATGCAGCCACAGCACCCAGAGACCCCATGTCTATTTGTTCGCTGAAGTCCATTCCCAGGATGACCTCTGGTACCCTGAGAGAAGAGGAGAACTTCTTGTTCACTTTTGTTTCTTTTCCGGTAAAGAAACAGACTTCTGACGTTTGCAACAAAGCCACAGTTTCCATGCCACATGTTTTATTATCTCCAGTTCCCGTACCTAGCTATTCCACAGACTCTGCACAGCGGTTCCTGGAACAGCCTCAGAAACGTGGCGAGCCAGGCCGAAGTCAATGAGCTTGACTTGCAGCGGCTGCTGACAGCTGTTCACGACCATGATGTTTCAGGCTTTAAGTCTGCATGCATGATTTCCAGGGCCTTGACATGGAGCAGGCTGTTCAGCTGAAGAAACACAAATATTGAGATTCATTAGGATCACAACAATTAACATATTTAACTTTTCCTATTGCAGTTAAGTATTTTAAGGATACCTCTGAATAAAGTAATAATTCCACATTGTAGGAGCCGATTAACACTGTGGGTATAGTCAAAGTTAAAGTCAACTTTAATGTCAACCTTCCAGTTTGTGTGTACAGACAGAGATCAAAATACTGTTTCCCACAATCCCGAATATAAAAACAATGTATATAGAATACAAAATATTAAAATATGTGTTGTAGGGACTGAGAGGCAGGTTAGTGGGAGGCACCTACATTCCCAATAGGTGGCTTCACCCGCTTCCAATTAGCAGTATTGGGAGCAGGTGTGGAGACCTCACACCTGGTGCTAATCACTCCCTCAAGGGAGACAAAGCACCCAGAGTTGCTCAGTTGTGTGTGGCACATGAAGGGAGCAGGAGGCTCCCAGCGTGAGGAAACAGTTTGTAAGCTGGTAAGTCGGTTAGCGCCTGGCTACGTTAGCCTTTGTATAGTTAAAGGTATTTTTGGACCTCCACATGGAGAAGCGCATTCTGTTTCTGCTGCTCCTGTATCATCTGCCGTTGCAGAGTCTGCTGCTCAGTAGAAATGCGCACCAACTCCCTTAGTACATCCTCCATCTTGAAAACATCTGACTACAACACCACCACTAGAGTCCTTATGCCCGCATTCTCCACCAGTGTAACAGGACTGGGCAGATAAAGAGAAAAGTGGTAGTGCAGCAATCACGACAGAGGCAGAGCTCAAATCCAAAAAAGAGGCTTTATTGCTGTTAAACTCAAAAATACCTTTAACTATACAAAGGCTAACGTAGCCGGGCGCTAACTGACTTACCAGCTTACAAAAACGTTTCCTTACACTGGGAGCCTCCTGCTCCCTCCATGTGCCACACACAACTGAGCAACTCTGGGTGCTTTGTCTCCCTTGAGGAAGTGATTAGCACCAGGTGTGAGGTCTCCACCCCTGCTCCCAATACTGCTAATTGGAAGAGGGTGGAGCCACCCACTACCCTGCCTCTCAGCCCCTTACAGTGTGCAAAATGTATGTATATACACAGTCAAGAACACATTTGTACATGTGCACACATTAAGACCTACATAAAAACACAACAATCAATACAAAATAAGTCACTTCAATATTCTGAGAATATGTACACTAATGTACATTAGTGCAAAAATAAATATTAGTGCAAATTGTCCAGAATGTGCATTATTGCAATATTGTCCATCGCAGCGTAAAAAGTGTCTGGTGCTGGATTTGAGTGTCTGAGGGAGTTATAGTCCAGTGGGGGCAGGGGGGAGAGGGGAGAGATTTCAGCCTGCTGACAGCCTGGTGTAAAAAACTGTCCTTTAGTCGGGTGGTGCTCAACCTCAGGCTGCGGAACCTCCTCCCTGGAGGCAGGAGGGTGAAGAGGCTCTGAGTGCTCTGCGGGTGTTGTAGAGCTCCAGGAGTGATGGGAGTGAGGCACCGATGATCCTCTCATGATGAAGGTAGGAACCAATGTTTGTGGTTAGAGGTTCAGCTGGAAGGCCACACACGGAGAGAACATACACACACACACACACACACACACACACACACACACACACACACACACACACACACACACACACACACACACACACACACACACACACACACACACACACACACACGGTATTGTGTAAACCGTAATATTATGTATGGTGAATGAGAAACTAAGCAAGTTAAATGGACACCAGTAAAAGGAAATAAATGGACTATATTTAACTGGAAACTTTGTATCAGACTTTTATTCACCTGGCAAACTTTGTGTGCGTCAATTACGCCAAGATAGTGGATCCTCAGAGGCTAAAACGTTGGCTTAGCCTCTACAGTTAGTCAAAAACGGTATGACTTTCCGGCGGAACCTCTAACCACAAACATTGGTTCCTACCTTTATACCCACAGAGCCACTGTGTTAATTTGCTCCTACACACATACTTGATGTAAGACTAGGCAGATAGAATGAGCCATACCATTTGACCAGACTACATGTGTCTGCATCCAAAGTCTGCAGCTTTTGGAGAATTTGAATCTGTGGAAGACATCAAAAACATGATTACTCTCATTTGCTGCCATCTTAAATTCAAGGTTGTCGGATCTCATTGCAAATATCTAAACCAGCATATTCCAGCTTTATAATAAGAGTTCGTACTCTCCCTTTCAGTGCTCGCTCAAAGAAAAAGGGGTCATCTTTGGTTATCTTGATGGCCTTCTCGGTTACAACGTCCACACACATCGTCACCTTGCCAAAGCAGCCCTGCACATATTTGAGAAACACACTCTGAACATAAGTTTTGTAATTTCCAGATTGACATGGCTGAGAAATGAATAAGCAAAACACAAGTATTGAACAAAAAATATGAGAAATTATAGGACATTTCTGAGGTGATTTAGAAATAAATTAGCCTGTAATCATCAACAAAAACATTATTGTATTACCTTATTAAACCTGTTTTAACACACATTACCCCCAGAATAAAGTACTAATTTTGTACTTGAAGGAACAAAATATCAGGATAGACAATAGTTACCGTGTGTGATATGGTGGAGGGAGCAGGGCAGGAGTTAGCAGATGAGGGGCTGTATTCCAAAAACACATTATTTGTCAAATGTTATTCTTTTAAAAATAAAATGAGGGCATGGCCTAGCCGGGAACAAAAAGCTTGGCAGTAGGCAGTCTGTTTCTTGTCGGGCGGTAATATATGTAACCTCATCCGGTGATTCAAAAGTTAGCTTGACGCTAGCATTAGTTTGTGGTGGTGTCTGTTTTACTGTCGTGATGCCTTCTGAAAATCTACGATGGGAAACATTGCAGGCGTTAAAAAATTCACCAAAGGGAAATATCACTTTTGACCCGTACTGGTCGGAAAGGGGCGAGGTGAGTTGAAGTAATACTAAGATAAAATAGACATTATCTGGCTGGCTAAAGGCTAGTTAGTGTTAGCCGGACCAAGTTGTAGTGAGTTAGTTTCATAGCTTAACAAATGTATTTATTTATCTAATTTAAGTGATCCTTTAACCATATATACCAACAAAAACAATATGTAGTGAGGGCATTGCATTACCAAAGTAAAACCACCATTAAGACGAATATAAAGCAGGTGGAAGCACTTTCTCTTGATTTGAGTTAAAATAATACACCTAACAAATAGGATACCATAACCTACTCAAATAAAGAGACAAACGCTAGCATACTAAGAATATGACAAAATAAACAAATAACGAGAAATATTACATTTAATAGAATCCCTAAGGTAATTCAAATAATTAAGTTGACAGTATCGATATATATTATAAACCGGAATATACATATGATGATATACACCCACTCTTCCGCATTCCATGTTGTGTTGTTGTACTTTGTAACGGTTTATAGCATGTTAGTTCCTACTAACTTACTTTGAATTTCAATATGGACTTTTACACAAACATTGTGTTTATAATGTGACGACAACTTTCAAACCCATCATATTTTTTTAAAGATTTACATTTAAAATAAGTGATTGGTCATTGCCATTTTTAGATATTATTCCAACAAACTTGCAACTTATGGACAATTTAAAAAGTAAATTAAGTTATTTGACTATTGTATGGCCAGACTAAGCCACGTTTTTCAATTTCAAACAAAGTTTAAAAACAATGTACAGCTAATATTTGTACATTTTAACCTTAAAGCAGGCTTTGTGAATGACGTACACCAGAGTTGTAATGTCTCTTATGTGTGTGTCTTTCAGCCCATTTTGTCAGGATGCAAAGAGCCCCTCAGCCTGTCCCCTCACTCGGGGGTCATCCTGGAGCGTCTCTGCGCCTTGCCCCTGCAGAAGGCATCCTTCCTGGGCTCCAGCTCCGGAGACTCCAGCCCCGGCCTCTCTGAGGATATTTTCACCTCCCTTTCCTCCACTGGGTCCATCCCCGACCTCAACGCCAGGCGCACCCCGTCTCTGAAGACGGAGCGCGAGCAGGCGAGTCTGGCATTCTGAAAACACGCTGACCCAACCTGGTTTTAGGACTCTTTGGCACCAATCTGTTTGGGAGTAGATTAAAGGACATGCAGTGTATGTCAGTGTATTCTATAGCCCAATATCACAAATGTACATTTGTCTCAGGGGGCTTTTAGGGATGCATATCGTTGACTTTTTTACGTTACCGATACCACTGAACGATACCGATACTCAACCGATACATATCGTGATACTTTGAAAATGTATCATCCCACAATTACTCCCATGAAGCGCTTTACGATATAGTTAACATGTCAAATGAATATTAAATTCAATTGTGGGACTTCTTGGACCTTTTAGTGCTGAACAAACAATGAAAAATACATAAAAATATGAAGAAAACCGATTATGGAATATCTTTTATAACACCCGCCATCAGGTGTGCCGCGTGAATAGCACAACTTGTCAATGCAAACAGACCGTTATAGCACCGTTATAATTAATGTTAAACCTGAGATTCGACTAGAGAACAAATACATAATAGAATAATGGTCACGACATCACAACAAATCTCATCTTTAAAATCAACATTTGCCTTCACTGGTGAGAGAAAACAAATCCCATCAGTCCTTTTTGTAGGACTTTTACCTTTCTAGTATTGAACAAACAATGAAAAATACATAAAATATGAAGAAAAACGATTATGCAATCTAATTTATAACACCCGCCATCACGGGCCACGGACTCACTTTTACATTTTAATTTTTTTTTTTTTTAAAGTATCGAAACCGGATCTGATTTCGGTACGGTATACCGTAGCCACCAGTAACCGGTATTTCGGTAACACCGGATACCGGTATGCATCCCTAGGGGCTTTACAGTTTATACAGAATATTATTGTGAATACAACAGCAGAGAGCGAAAACTCGTCCACATTAATACATATACGGTTGAAATGTATTTATGGTGCTTTACGATTGGCTACTGTCTGCTCAGTGTGCTTCTCTTTGTTAGCAGCAAGCAGGAAAGTAAACTGTTTTTTGAAGCACGGTGAACATGTTGTTTATGAAAGGCTAAATGCAAAAAAATATAGGTTGAAGCAGTATATTTGTTAAGATAAAAAAAAATGTTTGGTGAGGTTAGAAATGATTACGTTTCACTTTTTGGAGTACATTTGGACTTTTCAGACTTGTCAACGGTCAGGTCATGCAGCCATCACTGACATCTAAGTCTATAAATGTATAATACTAATCATTTTAATGTAGTCTAAGCACTTTCTAAAAGAAATACATTTTAAACAGATTGAATATATATGTGAAAAAGCGCTGTGCACAATGCTGGATTCGAATTTAAATGTCTACGCTATGAATTACGCTTATAACCACTTAAA